TTGTTCTTTTTTGTATTATCTATATTATTTCTAACAAGGGAAAAGAGAAAAGGAATACGAATAACAATGATTTTTTATCCTAACTAATCATGTATTTATTTACAAATAATGAGTGTTTAGTGGCTTCAGATAATATAGAAAAAAGAAAGAGAATGTTAATTCTTGTACTTCCACATATTGATTCTTAATTAAAGAGAATGAATACTAAATTTATCTAGATAAACTTAATAAGTTTACGCGTTATAATTGATGATAATTTAGTTATATAAAATAACCTTTTTTAGTTATGTTGAGAAGATTGCCATTATTAATTTAGTGAAAACTAACGTTAGCATTTTGAAGCAGTTGGATTATTTTCGTTTTCACTTTTTATTATTTAACACTAAAAGTCTAAAAGGGAATCAATATTTCCTTATTCTTATTCCTTTACTTTCAAACTAATCCTAATATCCTATTGCAATTTTCATTACATTTATTTACAGTTTGGTTGATGCTCTTTAATTAATTTGGGTAATAGCTGAAACTATCTATACTAAAACTAATATAAATTGAGAATGCTTACTACATGATAAGTTGATAACTTTCGTTCTCGTGACTGTAAATGTTCACAAATAACTATCAGAGTATCTCGCCTATTTTTTTCCCCCCAAATTCTCAAACACAACAAACAACAAGAATTATAATAAACAACTAAAATCTTATGTGTCATTTGTCTTAAATGAATGTCTATTGGCTTTTCGTTTAAAAAAAAAAAAATTCCCATAACTTATAAAGTTTAAGCCTCGAAGTAAAAAATCTTTTTACTAATTGTAAATTGAAAATGGGATAACAACATGTATGATCCCTTTCTAATGGATTTTTTTTTTTAAATTTTAACCAAAGTTTTGTAAAGTTAGCAAATAGCCGTTTCTTTTATTATCTTAGTAGTCAATAACTAATTAACTTAGTAGTCAATCACTGATTAACTCGTTGACTTTTCATTTTAACCAAAATCAATTAGTAATTAATAAATTTCAATCAATAAATTACATGTTTATTAATGATAAATTATTAGTAAATTATAATAATGAATCATTCAATCATTGATTGATTACTGGAAAAAATAATCATTTTGTTAAAATTAAAAAAGTTTAGCCATTTGTTTAAAAAATAAAAAGCTCAACCACTTATTAAAAAAGGGGTCAAAATATATATTTACTGATAGTTACTTCAAATATTTTAAAATATGCTTTTACTTATTTTAGTTTCATAAAAATGTTGTTTACTACAATTTTTTGTGTTTATTCTTGTTATTTTAAAAATAGTCTAAAAATATTATTTGACCATTTTTTCTAAATATCAAAATTACTGTTACTTAGTTCTATTAAATACCAACTTAAATATTCATAAACTGAAAAATTAAGCAAAATAAATTCTAAACTACAAAATTATCAAAACTAAAACTAAAAATAAAATAAAGTGAAAAAAGTAAAAACCCAAGTCTACCCCGAACAACACGATGACGACATCCCACCCACCTCGGCCCCGTACTCGGTACTAAGTGAGCGTAGAGATGCAACAATGGGCCGGCCCAAACCCATCCTGACACAGTGACGGACCGGGTCGGCACGGCCCGCCACTGTTTAAGGCACGGCCCAGCCTATAAATATTTGTGGGCTGGGTTGGGCCAATATATATTGGCCCATGGACCAGCCTGGCACGGCCCACGAAAAATCATGGGTCAGGCCAGGCTGGGCCGACCCGTCTAGGCCTATGATGGGCCGGCCTGTCTATGCCCATAATGGGCGGCTGGCCCATTTAGGCCCATAAAATCTTCATTTTTTTTTCTTTTTCTTAGTACTTTTGTAAACATCTTATGTATAATTATCTTGATTATACTCATTTTTCCTTACTAATGTTTTGTCTCACTCGGTTTTCCTTAAAAAGGTTTTTATTTAATGAGGTAATCGTAAATAAAATATCTATTTTCATATTTCCATTGACTATTCAAACTTATATATTTGTTAACTTGTTTAAAAATTTAAAAAATTAAAAATTACATGCTTAGATGAGCTGACCCATTTAAACCCATGATGGGCCTTGAGTGGGCCAGCCCATTCAAGGCCCACGACACATCTTGGCCCGCAGCACGGCCCAGCCTAGCCCACGTAAAATTGACCCGTGGTGTGAGCTGGGCTGAGGTTATTGTTATACGGGTCGGCTCGGCCCGGCTTATGAAATTCATGGGCTGGGCCGGCCCGGCCTGAGGCCCGCGTAGGCATAAGGAGAACGGGCTGAGCCGGACCGGGCCGGCCCGTTCTTGCATCTCTAGGTGAACTTAAGTCCCTAAACGGCCACAACCATATGTAAATATGACATGAAAATGGTAAGGATCATCAAACATAACCTGGTAATATTTCTACTTGGCAATTTAGAAAAAAAAAAAGAAAAAATCTTAGGATGGGAAGAATATTTTCTAGGTTTTGAACCACGTACGATCTGGAAGTGGTGGGCCAGCACTGAGGTGTAGCCTTTCTATCTTGACTTATCTTGTCTCCACAATGTCCTACGACTCCCTCACAAGGGCCAATGCATAGTTCGACTTTTGTGACTGTAAAGTTATCTCCGTTATCTCCCCCAAAGACTAGTTTGTTCACATTCATATTTTCACTTTCTCCTCATTTTGATGCATGATTCAAAAACGCATTGATTGGATTCACAAACTTTCAAGCCCACCACAGTAATCTGGAAGATAAATCAATCAACTACACTAGCCTCTTGTCAAGTTCCCATTGGATTTTGAGACTCCGTTTCTATTCACCTAGGTTTAATGTGTTGGCTCCTCATTGGCCCAGAAGGAAGTAAAAATTATTTGTCTTTTTCTCTTCAATATGTAAATATTCATAGTTTAGAAGTTAAATTTCCTGTAAATTATCTAACGGCCCGTTTGGTTGTAGTAGGAGAATAGTAATAATAATAGAAATGAGAATGATAATAATAATGTAATAAAAAAAAGTTAATTTAATTATTTAGTTGTAATTTAAAAAATATTATGGAATGAAATGTGAATATTTTTATGTTGAAAAAATTATCCTTATGTTACATATAACACCAATATTTTATATATTAATATAATTAATATAATATATAAAATGTAATATAATATAATAAATTTATTATATAATATGTTATATAATTATGATATAGAATATAATAATAATATTAAAATGGTTAATATAATCAGAATATTATAAAATATATTATAAGATTATATAATAAACAATAATAATTCAATTATAATATAATTAAAAATTACAACTATATTATATTATACTATAATATAATATATATAATTACAATATAATATATTATTATTATATTTAATATAATATAAATACTATTATTATATAATATATTTTATAATTATGATATAAAATATAATAATATTATTAAAATAATTAATATAATTAATATAATTACAATATTATAAAACATATTATAATATTACATAAGAAATAATAATATTTTAATTATAATATAATTAAAAATTACAACTATATTATATTAATTATTTTTTATCATAGTTTTTTATTATATATTATATTATATTACATATTATAAGATATGACTACTATATAATATGTTGTAATTATATTATAATATTTAAGGGTAATTATGAAAAAAAGAAGAAAAGAGTTTAGAATGACTATTCCTCCCACGTCGTGAGGAATGAATGATGATTCACTCAAAATAGGTGAATGACCATTTCTTTTTTATAAATTCAACCAAACATTATATTTAGATTCCATTCCATTCTATTTATTTTCTTTCCACCCAACCAAACACACCCTAAGGAGTATCCTTCTTAGTTAGTTTCTTATTTTTAATATTTGAATTGTAAATTACCTAGAATAGGATATTTTGTGTGTGTGTGTGTGTGTATATATATATATATATATATTCAATAAAATTCAATGAGAAGGCCATGTCCTAATTTCTCCAAATCTCTTCAACTCTTTAGTATATTCATGTTTAAACATCTTTAACTTTTTTTTTTTTTTCGTTTTTTTACTACGGATAAGAATTGCAGTTTTAGTCATTGAATAATTTTTTTAATAGTTTGATTTATGATTGTGCGCAATTATAAATTTTAACATGGACACTCAAAGATCATATCGCTGAAAAATTAATCTATTGAATGAAAGAAAACAAATCTTTCCTACCAATAGCGAAAAAGAGTAGGTCTTAAAAGTAAAAATTGTTGTAATATTATGCATAAACAATGAATCATGCATATGGACAAATTCCCGGATTTAGAAGAGTTAGGTAACAAGTATGTCCTTGCATGCATGTAGGAATGTAGCACAATAAACCACCGACACTGTTCTGTAACATATATATACATATATATATATATATTTTTTTTTTTCTTGAAAAGATGCTATGTACTTTAACATACATATTAGTGTTTTGGTCATATAACAACGATAATAATAATAAAAAATAAAAAATAAAAACAGAGAGAAGAATTATTCGTGTGTATGTATGGTGCTAACTGTTATTATCTCATGCTCACGTTGGCGGCTGGCGTCATTTTGGTCCCTACTCTTGTGGTCAGATTTCTAAAATTTCTCTTTTAATCATCTTTCTTTGCGGAGCTTTCTACGGGGTTAAAGGATTCCTATTAGTGGTAAATGCTTTTTTATTAGGTTCCATCAAAGTGAAAAAAAAAAAAAATTAACATAACTTAATACAGATACGACGGTTTAAATATAGCGGCCTATATCAATAGAGCATTTTTTTAATACCTAAAGACTTCACATTATGACGGAAACCATGGTCAACACAAAGTTTACTTGCATGGGACAAGCATATATAGTACTTCCAACTGTTGCAGTCTTAAGGGGAAAAAAAAAAAAGAAAGAAAAAACAAACACCTTTGTGTTTGTGTGTGTGTATATATACATGCATATACTCTTATGCTTTTGTTTTTTATATATATTCATAATATAGAAGCCACACCACTGTATATTTGTTGTGCTGCATAACTATATCTGTCAGAGACAAATATGGGGAGAGGAAAAGTGGAGCTGAAGAGAATAGAGAACCCAACAAGCCGGCAAGTGACCTTCTCGAAGCGGCGAAACGGCCTTCTCAAGAAGGCTTTCGAGCTCTCCATTCTCTGCGAAGCTGAAGTCGCTATCGTCATCTTCTCTCCCTCTGGAAAGCTCTATCAATATGCCAGCCATGAGTTAGTCATTCCTTTTTTGGTTTCACAAATAATTCCTAGAACTAGAACGTTTCTAGATATAAGTTAGAAGACAAATATATTTGATCTGTTTTGTTTAAGACCCGAACTTTTTACTGTAGTAAAAAAGTTAGATGTGACTGTTTTTTAGAGTTTTTTACAAAACTCAAATTTTAAACTCAAATCGGTGAGATGAACGGGTCTTATTATGTTTTGCAGCATGGAAAGAAGCATTGCGAGGTACAGGAGCGAAATTGGATTGCCTGGATCAGCTGACAACCCAACCTGCAGAACCATAGAGGTGTGTGTGTGTGTATTAATATATACACGCACAACATATACATATGTATACAATAAAACATTATTTGTTGTCTTGTCTGAACTTACAAGTGATGGTTTTATATACCAGATAAAGTTTACAGACATCATGTAAAATAAATATCCTTAAACATATACATATATACCTCTGTGACATGAATTAGTACTTGCTAAGAATCTTGATGTGATTGTGATGGTCATTCATGATCATATATTAACTATAGGAATATATATATATATATATATATATATATAAAGTCCGTGTGAAGAGAATTCTATGGTAGGGTATTAAAAAAATAATTTACTGGTAAGATACTGTTTTCAACCATCTGATATTCATTAAGTTTTGTTAAATTGTCATATTCTTTTTAATTTGAATAATTTTGATATGATCTAATAATTTGAAACTATGTTTTATGAGTAAGGTATTTTTTTTTCATATCTGATAACAAAAACTAGATGATTGTGAGTGAAGAAAGGGGAAAACAAAGAAGGAAGTAAAATCTAGACATATATAGTTCATGCTTGTTCTGCTCCATTAAAGTGAATATTATGTCAATACCTTCAATACATATATTCTTTAAGGATGAATAAAGAATAGCTAACTAATATTATGTACAAGATTTTGGTCCTTGAACATAGATAATATGCTCTTTTGTATCATTCCACTTATTTGTATTGTTGCAATTTCTGCTAATTGTTCCAGTTTTGGAAGACTGAAATTGACGAGCTGAAAAGATCAACAGAGAACTTGGAAGTGAATTTGAGGTAAGTCCCCACATTCAGCCACAATTAATTAGCAGATTGAAATACTCATTTTACATATCAGTAACATAACCAACATGACTATGTCAAATTATAGGCACTTATCAGGTGAAGATCTAGCGATGTTGGGCATGAAAGAGTTGAAACAGCTAGAGCGGCAGCTCAAGACCGGCGTTGAACGCATCCGCTGCAAGAAGGTACGTAACACAACATTAATTTGTGATAATCAAAGATTAATAAAGACAATTAGTCCTCTCAACTTTTGTATTTGGAAAAGTTTGTTTGATTAGAGAGCTCAAAAATCTTTACTTTTTGAAAGAGAAGTTTCCCTAATGTGACATGATCATATCATTTCTTTCTAATGCATAATCAACGGCAGAGAAGGATCGTCTCGGAGCACATCAATTTCCTGAAAAAAAGGGTAAGATGAGTATTAGTGAATTACCATAGTACTTTTGCATGCCTAATATAAATTGGAAAAATTTTATGTTTTCCCCTGAATTATTAAACCAGTTTTAATTTGCCCTTGAACTACAAAATGAACATGTTTTGGCCCTTGTTATTTTTGTTTAAATAAAAAAAAAAAAGACAAAAAAGTTGAGTGTTTATAGTTGTGGTATAAAATAACTGTATTTTACCATAGTAGATGATAAATTATTTCAGGGAATTAACTAGATTTCTTTTTTCTTGCTTAATGTGCAGCGTAGAGCCTTACAAGAGGAGAACACACGCCTCCTGAAAAAAGTGGGATTTCAAATTAGTCATATTATAATTTTGTGTATCTCCATGCAACAATATCTTTTTCATGACTTGTGCATTCAAAGTTTCAAGTTAATCATATATGTATTGCTGGAATTTGACACATATTAAATGAATTTTTATATTTTCTGTTTTAGGTTAAACTGCTAGAGAACCCAGATGATGCTAACCCAAACTGAGAGACTCTTGGCATGCAAAATGCACATTCCCAGGTATAATTTATTACAAGTTAAGTTGATAGAACTAAAATTATTATTTAGAGAGTGTTTGTACCATTATAATAACATCAATACTTGTCAATTGTCATGTGTTTGTTAGGAACCTAATATTAAAAAGTTTAATAGTCTTAATAGTAGTATAAATAGGGGGTTTAGTTGCTAGGAAGATGGAGGAGGAGATTTGTAAGGAGTGTCTAATGCTGTGCACTATTTTGGAGGTCGGGGGTCCTCGAAACCGCCCATCTATCTTGTAGTTTTTCATTTTTAGTGTTGTTAATGAAGCTCAGATTTTCGGGTTCCTAACAATGGTATCAGAGCATTGATCCATGGCGCCTATACCGGCAGATTTAGAAAGGGTGACCACCGTGGAGAAGGGATTGGTGGTGGTTCAGGAGGCGGTCCAAGAGGTGGTGGTGGAGAGCCTGCCACAGATTCGAGGGACTTCAGGGACATATGGGGAAAGTTCGGATGCAGATGGGTGATTTGCAGGCGGTCCTTCGGCGAATGGAGGCGCTGTTGGTGGTGCGGTCGGTACCGGAAAAGGCCGACGGAGAACGGCAAAATGAAGAGATCGTGGATCGTGATGACCTAGGCAGAGTGGAGGAAGATTTCCGGCACGATTGTCGTCGGGGGGCGCCGATTTGCGAAGGCCGAGGTCGCGAGAGGGAGAACGAACGTCGGAGAGACATGGGTCTCATGGAGGAGTGTAAGTTCCGTCGCGATCTGGGGCTGGGTGGTCTGGATCTGCAGCACGAGGGCTTGTTCGATGGCGGGAGGAGGACGGAAGGAGGTCGCGACTGTCGGGAGAGCGTGGTGGAGCTTGGTCGGCGACGGGAACCGGAGTTGGAGCCAGAGTTAGAAGAGGAGAGGCTTGCTCCGGGGCTGGGACGACATGGGTACCCTCGGAACAGGGAACCCAGCCCTGATTCAGTCACGGTTGGGGTTGATTCTGGCCCAGTTTGTACCGGGCCTCGTGATTCCGGTTCGTCTGAGGCTAATTCCAGCCGAATTCAGATTGGGTCATGCGAGTTCGGCCCGATTTGGGAGGATTCTGGCGAAATTAGGGATGGGTCCCAAAATTTCAGCGGCCTTAGGTCTGGGTTTTGCAATTATGATGTGATTGAGATTGATTTCGATGATGTTAGGGTTGGGCCTCAAACTTACAGTAAGATTAGAGCCAATTACAGCCAAATATGGACTGGATCTTCAAGTTTTGGCATGACTGGGGTTAGGTCTAGGCGATCTGAGTTAGGTGAGGGAGATTGGGTTTTACAATTTGATTTGAGAGAGTGAATTGGGTCTTCTCAATTTGGAGTCATAACCAATTTAAGGGTTTCGAGTAGGGAGAGGGGAAGGTGGCACGACACCCTATGGGAGGGCCAAACAGATCAACGATTTCAGCAAATAGATATGCCATTGTTCACTGGAGAAGACCCTGATGGGTGGGTCTTTAGAGCTGAATGATACCTTTTATTTTATAGAATGACGAACAATGAGAAAATCCAAGCTGTTGAAATGGTTATGAAGGGTGATGCTCTGGCTTGGTATCAATGGCAGGATGCTCGTTGACCATTCTACAGTTGGAATGAATTGAAGACTCATCTACTTAAGCATTTCAGAATGTCATCCGATGAGGCCTTACATGAGAGTTTCTTGGTGAAACGTCAAGAGGATACCATGGCTCACTATAGATGACAATTCAAGGTACTTACCAAACCTGGGAAAGAGATTTCAAATTTGGTTTTAGAGAGAGTCGTCATTATAAAATTAGAAGTCGATAAAGAGCAAGTGGTAGGTAGTTCAAGTAGGTTGCTTCCAGCTCAAATAACTGGTGTTTCATATCAAATGGATGTTCAAAGAGTCTTGACTAGGAAGAATTTTGATGGTAAGGTGGACCAAGGCATTGAAAATGAAGTTGGTTTTCAATCTGGTGCTAGTAATGAGGGGCTTCAAGATATGGGAAATAAGATGTCAATGACATCAAAATTTTCCAAGGATGTTACTTTAGAACCGGAGTTTGCTGCACCAGTGAAAGAAGTCCATTCTTGTATTATAAAAGATGAATTTGATTTTGTTTGCAGCAATTATAGGGCTGTTGACAAAAGAATGAAGAGTGTACACTTGCAGCTGCCCTCCATTGTTGATGTTCAGACAAACAACAAGGCAGCTTTCTCTGGCGAGGTGGAACATGCACTGCAGCAAGATAACGCTTGTATGAGGAAGGTTTTTGTTATAAATGAATTGTTTGAGCTGACCAACAAGGTTTTCCATTGCGACAAGGATGATTTTGAGGCTGAGCTTCATGGTTTTGCTGCCCTTAAAGTGGTTCTCAATTTTAGCTCCAAACAAAAGTGTGAAGTTGAAAAGATAAAGTTAACAAGAACATTTGAAGCAAGTTCTGTACGAATCATTCCGGTCGACGTTCCAAGATCCAACCTCATCAAGATTGGAAGGAAGTGGAGCCACACGGCTGTGATTATTTAACACCTTGAGGACAATGTGTTTCTTTAGGGCGGGAGTAATGTTAAGAACCTAATATTTAGAAGTCTTTTTTAATAGTCTTAATAGTAGTATAAATAGGGGGTTTAGTTGCTAGGGAGAGGTTGGAGGTGATTTGTAGGGAGTGTCTAGTGCTGTGCACTATTTTAGAAGTTGAGGATCCTCGAAACCGCTCATCTATCTTGTAATTTTCCATTTTTAGTGTTGTTAATGAATCTTAGATTTTCGGGTTCCTGTTCCAGTAAGATATTATCATGAGATCTAAATTTCTGCCATGTCTAGTTATTATCACCTTTTGGTGGGCCATTTATATCTTGTATATATTGTGGATAGATGTATGTATGTGTGTGTGTGTACTTGTATATATATGTGTAATCTGTGTATTGTTTATATCATGATGCCTTCAATAAAATCTTGAAATGCAGGGTGGTTCTGGATTGAGTTTGCTTATGAACAAGCATCAGAAGGACATCTCACCAGCCAGCTTATAATATAAAGCATAATTTATGTATACTTATTGCTGATGCTATATAGATATGTATGTATTAATTTTACAAGTTGTATTGGCAGATGACATGCCTTGGTTGCTTAAGAAACTATTATCTCTAGATGCCCGAGTTTGGTTTTCCATTTTTTATGTGCAAGTGGAATTATATATACATATACATATATACACACACACATACATGGTCTTTAGTGTATGAGCTTTGTATAAGGGGTTAATTTTCTAGACACGTGAAATGGACAAAATTAATTTGAAATGTTCCATAATATATTTAACAATAACACGTTTAAGAAAGTATAAATTTGAAATTACAGATTCTCCTAAACAGAGAAGGGAAAAATCAAACTTCCAAAAAAGAAAAAATTGCATGAACAATGTAGAAAAAGAAAATGAAAAACAAGAAGCAGGAAGAAAGAAAGATATATTATTAGACGGAAAATTTGACTTTCATTATATTGCACAAACACCAATAGTACAATATTCTACATGCAGAAATTAGTCTAGTGAAGATTTTCATCACGTAGAGAAGAGGAACATACAAATATTTCGTTCCAAAGACCAAAACACAAAAGACTAAAAATAGGATCGATATAGTGGTTAAACAACTGTTTGAAGCCGAAACCGTTCTTGGACATAGGCGATATAGCTTGCAGCTCTGGCGTCAATGGTTTCATCGTCGCCGGAGTATAATTGCGCATTTGAGCGTGACATCTTCTGCTTCGTCGGATGTTCTGCAAAAACACCCTCAAAGGAGCCTGAAGAAGCCATTGAAGCCGTCGGATTCGCTCTATCGACGACGTTGTTGCCGTTGTGCTTTCCTTCTTTGTACATTTGCTTGCTTTTGATGACTTTATACCCCGACTCCATATCGAATTCAAGACCGATTTCTATGATCTCTTCTTCTTTCTTTTCTCTAAAGATTTAAGAACAATTTGCATTCGAAAATCCGAAGCAGTAGGTATTTATAGCTGAGTAAGTGGTCCTGTGTTGAAATATCTCCACTTAGCTAGATTAGATATTTCCAATATGGAGGACACTTTTAAGCTGGAATAAAGTAGCAAAAAAGTGGCTCATGATATCCGCATATATAAGCATATTTTGAGGATTGGATTTTCTTTTAATTTATTTTTTTATTTTTTTATTTTGGATAACGATCTGATTATCACTTTTCTTGCAGATACTCTATCCTTTCTATCAAGTTGAAGATCCGAATATTAATCAGGAATACTCGGCCTCATCACCTGATCAAATGCTTATCTCTTATATGGCAAAAAGACATGACAACTTTTTGGATATATATATGAATCGATAGTCTTGATCAAAATGCTTCAAAGCCAAAAAAAAAAAAAAAAAAAAAAAAAAAAAAAGGGAAAAAAAAATAAAAAAATATACAAAAAAAAAAAAAAAAAAAAAAAAAAACAGGGATAGAAATTTAGATATATATCCCATATTTGTATGGAAATTTCAACATATCATCTTCACTATATCTCTTTCAAGTAAAGGGTGAAGATATCTATCTAGTGAAAAAAAATTCATAGATGCTTGAGTACAACTTTCATGTATGGATTAGATATACTTGAGGATATACTGCAAGTTCTAAAAGTTTTCATGCAAAGAAAATAGTTAGTGCTGAAATAAAATTTTTTGAATGTTGATTATACAAATAGGCTCTATCCATATTCCTAACGTTGAAGCATACGAGAAAGACATACACGGAAAAAGGGAATATACAACCTTGTCAAAACTTGGCTCCGTTAGTTCTAATTAGTTAAACTGTTTTCTGTCACAAAAATTCAAATTCAATTTTTTCTACTACATTGTTTACTCTCATATAAATTCACTTTTTTAACTCAAATTCTTAATTCAAACGAGGAAAATGAATAGAGCCTCACGGTAATTATTAGAATGCTGATAATATAAGCTATTTATTAATCTATTGATTCGCTTGCGCATGATGGAAAGATATAAAGATAGAAATAAAACTTGTTGATTCTAATGAATAATACAAAGAATTGCACTCCAAAAATTTAGAGTGAGAACTCTAACAATAAAATTTTATTAATCAAACTCTTTTAGAATAAACTTATCATAAAGTGGGAGCCAAAAGCTAAAACAATTTTAGTTTGAATCAAATCTAACTCCTAATTTGAATAAATCTAATTCCTAAAATAAGACAATCCTAAATTTAAAATCATTATAATTCAATATATCAAAAAATAATCATCATAATAACTCTAAAATATAATGATAACTCTCAGAATATATTCCAATTATGCCGTTTCATTGCGTTAACTTTTGTTTTTCCCCAACCTTGTGAAGCTCATCAATGGTAAGAATGCAGGTGGTGAAACTGTGTACACTTATATTGAACTTCTGAAGCACCAAAGAACTATTATGAGTCCATAACAAAGTGGTACCATAGCTATTGCATATATATATATATATATATATACAGGCACGGAGGGAAAGAAGGCCTAGGGGCTTAAGCCCCCCTCAACTTTTCATTCTTTATACTTTTGTATATATATTTCTACTAAATTTAGAAATAGCGCATTAAAATTTTTATTTTATTTTTAAAACAAATGAAAAACTATCACTTTAACCAAACACCAATTAATATCTATAAGTTCTTTACAAGATCTTCTCCCCTAATAATAACTTGAATTCTTTATTGAAGTATAACTTTATTTATTTATTTTCTCTTATTGTCTTATTTTCTTAAATCTTTTTCAATAGTCTAAAAATATCCCTTTAAAGCAGAATGTGTATACAATAATTCCTTGTTATAAATTATGTATCATAAGATTTTTAGATAAGAAAAATATATCATTAATATATCATCCTAATATAATATCAGTTAGTACCGTAGTATAATATCGTTTTAGTATAACTATTATGAAGAATCAACTATACAATCATGAATGAGATCAACGAATAAATCAGTCACATCGAGAAAGACATCTTTAATAGCCTCAATAATAAAGTTATTTAAAACATGATGAAAACACATGGAGGACAATAAAAGAATTTATAAATTTTTTCTTAAATGTCTGTTGTAATTATTAGCCCCAAAACAAAAAATTCCGACTCCGTCACTATATATATATATATCATACTAAGTCTCTTACCTGCTTATGATTAACCTTTTGTTTCCTGTTTTCTCCCTTTTCTTTTATGACTTTTCCAGCGCTAGTACAATCTGTTAATTGAATATATATTTGAGAGAAATCTCTTTTAAAGCATGCAGCTTATGGTTTATGTTTGTCTGGCTTTTACGTTGTGTCTAAACTGACTAAAAAACAACTTGATTGGTGCAGATCTAGAAATTTTCTTTTAGGGGTAGGAATATATATTTGAGAGAAATCTCTTATGTATCTTCCTCTTGGCTTATTTTAGAAGAATTATGGCTTAGTTTGGTATTATTTTTTCCTCTTAAAATTAGCTTTTGCTTGTAGCAGAAGCTGATTTTAGTGTTTGATAAATCTCCTTAAAAAGTGTTTTTTGAAGAATTTTTCAAGAATCTACAGCCAAAATCAGAAGCAGTCTAAAGACAACTTTAGCTTTTAGATTGTGTGGGAATCAACATAGTACAATTAATGAAACTTTTATAATATCCATAATACTCCTAATAAAATTTAAAATTTACAATCTTCCCAATCTAAAATTCAGACTCATAATATAATATAAGATAATAGTAATATTGTAACAAATAAAATCATAATTATATTAATAACTCTAATATTATTATTTTATCATATAATATGATATTATAATTATTTTAATAATATGATATTGTAATTCTTATTTTATAATATATTATATATTATATTGTATTGATATAATTATATTTATTATATTAATAATATTACAA